CGATCAATCACAAAGTGGTGAACCACCGGTACGAAGGGTCAACTACAGCAACTAGTTGCCCAAGAGTCAAAGAAAGTGAAATCTGTACCTTAAGCGGAATAGAAAAGTAAAGCACGATCAAACGAGATTCACGGTAAAGTTCAACTTGCTCGCGTGCCTAATGAATGCGCAAATCGGTTATTACTTAAACAACGTATGATCATATCTTAATTCTACTAATAAACTACTTAGGTCTACATGTTTATAAACAACTTAAACTTCAAATACGACAGCCAAATATGTATTACGAAATCGACGCAACACTTAGTTTTATATAATTCTGTTTCGACTTTTAATAGCTTTTGACCCTCATTTTCGGGAGAAACTTTACCCCACTTAGAGACCAATACAGAAGATACTATTTAAACAAAAGATGTAGTATGATATGCGATGAAACTACTGGTTCTTAAATCATCTCATTTGGATTATCCATCTATTTTATACGAATATTACAAAACAGCAAATCAATCCTAAATACATTGCAAACAGCCCCGAAAACACACTGTTTTGGGCCACTTAGATTCATAACTGGATTTTCGACCCTACATGAAAGTTGTAGTATACATTAAGGGATTTCTAACTGCAAAATATGAGCTTATTCYGACTTACGGTTTGCAAGTTACACACTGTCAAAGTATGGACCTGCATAGTCGGTAAAATCCGATTCCGCAATTCCCGACTAACTTTTATAATCCAACTTTCATGATTCGCTATATTTACGTGCTATAAACATGCTTCAACATATTAAACCGTAAAACAAGTCCAATGGTCGCTAACCTAAGCTTAATCATGCAATTTTACTCTTTTCGGCATTATATCGAACAATTGGTGTACCGTTAAACATATACACCAAATCTAACCATAATGAAACCATAATCTACCCTTTTAATTTCTACATCAATTTTATCAATCATAGCATTCTAAACATGAAATATATCATACTTATAACAATATCAATCCGTAAACTTAGACATAACATAGTTTATAAACCAGTCTAAAAAAAATGCTAACATAAATACCCTAATAAAAGTGAATGAAATTTATACCTTTATGAAGGGTTCGAAGAGTGGATTCCGAATATATAATCGTTACTTCGATTGCTTCAACGATTTAAAAAATATTTTAGAGAGAAGAAAATTATGAAAGAGAGATGAGAGAAAAATGAGGCGGTTCTTCAGATGAAGCGTCGTTGGATTGTTTTTTTTCACATATATATATATAATATATATATATATAATTATTAAAAGTTTAAAAGTTTGGCGGTTTTAACCCCTTAATAATTATCGACCGTTATTTAAGTACGGTACAATTTCGGTAAGTTAACGAGAATGTGTTTTTAAAATTCGGATCTTACAATTCTCCCCCCCTTAAAAGAAGATTTTGTCCCCGAAATTGAATTTAGAGATAGTGAACTTACATCAGTTTAAGAATTCTGGGTACTCCCGCCGCATATGCTATTCAGTTTCCCACGTCGCCTCACGTTCCGAGTGATTCTTCCAAAGAACTTTTACAAAAGGAATCACTCTCTTTCGTGTACCTCTCTCATCGCGATCAAGAATTGCCTCAGGCTCCTCACGATAAAATAGATCAGGCTCTATATGGTCCAAAGGATATTCAATGACGTGTAGGGGATTATAGTTGTATCCTCGCAATGAAGAGACATGAAACACATTATGTACGTGGGACAATTGTGGCGGTAGAGCTAACCTGTAGGCCACAACTCCAACCCTTTCTAGAATTTCAAAAGGACCAATATATCTCGGGCTAAGCTTCCCTTTGAGACCAAAACGTCTAATACCACGAGTCGGGGAAACCTTCAAGAAGACTATATCACCCAATTGGAACTCGATAGGTCGTCGTCGCTTGTTGGCGTAGCTCTTTTGACGAGCCTGAGCCTTTTTCATCATTTGACGTGCAATTTCGACCTTCTCGGTAGTAACTTGTACTAATTCTGGGCCTTCTAAAACACGTTCTCCAACTTCATTCCAACAAGTCGGTGTTCGACATTTTCGGCCATAAAGTGCTTCATACGGGGTCATGCCGATACTCGACTGCCAGCTATTATTATAGGAGAACTCGATTACATACAAGTAGTTATCCCAACTTTCATGTCATTCCAACGCACATGCTCGGAGCATATCCTCCAATGTTTGAATTGTACGTTCAGATTGCCAATCAGTTTACGGATGAAAGGCTGTAATAAAATTCAAACGTGTGCCCCAAGCTTTATGTAAACCTTCCCAAAATCGAGATGTAAAACGTGGGTCTCGATCGGAGGTAATCGATACAGGTGTGCCATGAAGACGCACAATCTCACATTGGAAAACTTCGGTCAGCTTAGCAATTGACCAAGTTTGTCGAACAGAAAGAAAATGAGCCGATTTTGTCAGTCGGTCTACCACTACCCAGATTGCATCGTGTTTCAAGATCGTACGGGGTAATCTGACTACAAAATCCTTAGTTATGTGCTCCCATTTCCATACTGGAATGTTCAACAATTGGAGAACACCACTTGGACGTTGATGTTCAATTTTAACTTGTTGACAAGTGAGACAACGAGCTACAAAGTCGACGATATCTCTCTTCATTCCAATCCACAAGAAATGGTTCCTCAAATCATGATACATTTTTGTTGTGCCAGGATGAACCAAAAACATAGAGTTATGAGCTTCGGTCAGAATTAGATCTCTAAACTCCGAGTTATTCGGAACACAAAGACGATCCCGAAACCACAACACGTGATCATCATCAATTCTAAACTCTGAACTAGAATTCTCTTGTGCCTGTTGGAAATTTGCCTATAATTCACTATCATCTTGTTGGGCTTCTTTGATCCGAGAGATTAGAGTCGGTTCTACCATTAGATTCGACAGAATTTCCGTTTGCGAACTCGGATAGATTTTTAGTCCAAACCGTTCGATTTCCAAAGCCAACTCTGTAGAAACAATTTAAAAGAAGAAATTTGTTCCACAGATTTACGGCTTAAAGCGTCGGCGACTACATTAGCTTTGCCCGGATGATACTGTATCCGAACATCGTAATATTTCAGAAATTCGAGCCACCTTCGTTGATGCATATTTAACTCTTTTTGAATAAAGATATATTTGAGGCTTTTATGGTCAGTGAAAACTTCACAGGTCTCACCGTACAAATAGTGACGCCAGATCTTGAGTGCGAAGATCACTGCAGCCAATTCGAGATCATGAGTCGGATAATTGACCTCATAAGGCTTTAATTGACGAGAAACATATGCGATCACTTTTCCGTGTTGCATAAGAACACAACAGAGACCTTTCTTTGAAGC